AGGTATATATATACAATATAAAATTATTGGGCGTGTGTAGCGCAGTGGTCGGAGGCGCCCTGAAATACACATGGAATCGGTCCTCGTGCTCTAGGTCCACCAAGCCCTCCATCCCTCCGGGGTCGGCTAATTGGTTCCAGACTTGACTGGGAGGATAGCAGCACCGGTTCGATACATCGCTTGGCCACCCCGAGTCACTATAAAGGCCGGATATGGATTCACTCATCTCCAACGATGCTTAAGGTCAAATGCATGGCGCATCCTCAGGGACTGACCAAATCTAAGAGCTTTATCCTATGTATAAAAGGAATATATTCTATATGAGATGAAGAAAGTAGACATTTGCTTTTATACATTCCACTGTGTGTAAAAAATGGATCCAATATGGAAAGTACACATGAACGACACTTACACGACTGTTAAATTGAATTTGGAGTCACACAGTTATGTTCTTTCAGAAAACTAGATGATTTTCAGAAACTCCTTGTGGTTGTCTATGAATGTTTATCAACTCAAGTTAATACTTGCATACCGGTTTACATTGCTTTTGAACAAAATGAGTCATCCAAAATTCTTCCAAGAAGTTTAGATACAAAGTAATGTAGTGATGACGAACATTAACAGATGAAAGACCAAAAAACTGGTTATAAGAACGGAAGCGCAAAATCCGAATGCATGAAGATCCGATCATGGAAAAGCAGCGAGAGCTTCGCAGAAGAAAGATAAGTATCCATTCGGTCTTCAGAATATCGTGATATCCGGAAATCTCATTATGGGAATGATATCGCTGCACATCTTCCCTCGAACGAAAGCAATTAGGGACTACATCTTAATTAATGACACTGGCTTCTAAAAAGCTTATCAGCAGTGCTTAAACCATAAAGAACAAACAAAGACTATGTTGAAAATGTTGAAAAATCCGCACTAGCATGCAACGACAAGCTGGGACATTTCTATAAAGAGACAGAAAAATCTGGATAGATACCGGCGTAGACCATCGCTCAACGAATTTCCTTTCTTTCTTCGTGGTAGAACAAAGGATGACTGCCTTACATCACACGAAACATTGACATTCTAATTCAAATATGATTATAAAGTTGGTTCTATATAACTGTAGAAATGGATGTAGGTAAACTATAGTTCACCAGTGATGTGGTAAACAAACAAAAAGTATATCTAACTTTTTAATTGCTGCCTACTACAATTGTTCCCGGCAGGGCACTGCGTGAAATACAAACATGATTCCGAGATATTTTCAAAACTCCGGACCGCAGGTGTCCGCGGTGGGGATCGAATACGCTATTACCTTTTCCGGTGGCTAACGTATTCACCTCCACACCATGTGGGTCCTTTTTTCGCCTGTCTCTCAGCTAGTTTTCTAGTCTCAGTGAAAAGTAAAGTACGTAAACAACTCGGATACTTTTTAGCACTCGGAGAAACTGCGTAGAAGGTTATTCAACTTATGATTAGCTGTGTAAAAACACAGTGGAGATAACCAGTGAATTCCAGGATACCATAGATATCCGAGCATTCTAAACAAGAACAGACTTGGCACATCCACTAACGTCGAAGTATCACCAGGCCATTATTTGAAGCGACAAAGATATCTGCACAATCACTCAGACTGCCATGGAGTTTAGGTCCAGAGGCAGGAAACAAAAGAACTGAGTAAAAATGCGTTACTTCCTCTTAAGCCGGTTAAACGAACCAACTATGGAATTTAGGGACACTCGATCAGTTACAACAAGCTGGAAAGAAAAAAAATTTCACGTCCAAGTATCACAGCTTAGCACATTTGGAATAGATATGGCCGGAATAAGTAGAAAATAAAAGGATAAAGCTCTCGGCGTTGGTCAACCCCTAAGGGATGCGCCATGCACTCAACTTCATTAAGCATCGTTTGGAGGTGAATCAATGCATATCTGGCATATCTGATTGAAGATATCCTAGGAAGCTTCACTGCTTTATTGTAATACATTTTCCGTCTAGAAGCGGTGTTTGGCTGTTCCTTTAAAGGACTAAAGTCCTCAGTGTTGATCAACTCCTGAGGGATGTGTCATGCATTCGACTTCGTTAAGCATCGTTGGAGGTGAATGAATGCATATCTGGTCCTTACAGTGAGTCACGGTGGCCTATCGATGTATCAAGCCAGTGCTGCTATCTTCCCAGACAAGTCTGATAACAATTCGCCGACCTCCGAGTGGTAGAGGGCTCGGTGAGCCTGTGGCGCACGGAACGATACCATGTGCATTATAGGACGTCTCTGATCGCTGCGCTATATGCGCTCCTCGTTTTCTGGACACTTGGAAGAAGCAAGAAACATGAGCTGTTAGTAAATAGGGACAATTAAAAAACGCCTATATGGAACTCACATTTGTTAGCCAATAAACTCTCCTGTGAAATGTGGGTACAACGGAGGAATGCGCATAGTTGGCAGATAGGATTTCCTGTTTGTTTACCTAAACAGCATGGCAATCGTGAAAACTTCAGTGTGTTGGTGACCCTAAGGACTAACAGTGTTACATGGTTTAATAAAGCTATAAAACTACAGATTCCAGTTGAAGATGGATGTACAACAAGATCCATACATAGAAAAATACCGCACACAACTCATGTTCGCAAATGCCTACCCCTAGAAACTTGGATGGCCCATCTTCACTGCTTGTGCGCGCTCCATAATAATTCCCATCCTCTGGAGGTTTCCTGGTTTGGCAACTGTGTTTCCGTGGAGTCCTGAGGTCAACCTGACATAAGTCTCTCCCAGGTCATCACCACTACAGGCACTCGCCGCCCTTGTCGATCAGTGGGAGATTTGCCAGCATGCGACTAATTTGATACCAGGACGGTGGCGAATCCTGGTATTGGTTTACTCTTAACTGAACTTCCTCATGGAAACGCCGGATTCCTTTCTCAGCTGTGGAGACCCTACTGGGGAATGAATCCCCGCTGTACATTGCAGCCCTACACCCAGGAATACCTTCCAGCCACGATGAGGTGGCAAACGTTGAGAGGCAATCTCGCAAGTAATTCAACTTCGTAACCATGAAAGTTGACCTACCATGACAGATTACAGTCTTTCATGTACACATCTGTTTTATAGTGAGCAAAAGTAGAAAAACACTCACTTCATATCAGAATATTCTACGAAATCAGACGTATAAATAATATAAGACCTTCAACTTCATATGATCCTCCCGTATCAGTTTTCCTTCGCGTCGTTTCTTCCACTCATAGCCATCTATCTTGAACCAGTTCCCATCAAATCGGCAAAACATGTACTGAGCACTGAAACGCAGGTAAAGGATCAAACAAAGCAAAAGAAACTAGCTCAAGAATGCAGTAGAACACAACCATTTCTTCAAAGGAAAAAGGGGATATTAAGTGATTTTAAACGAAGAACGCTGGACAACTCTTAACAAGACGTTACCCGGTTTTCGGACGGAGTGCAACCTTCTGTGTTAGCCATTCGGGGTGGTCAGGGGCCGAATACAGTAGTCGTGCAATTTCCTAAATATATATGTCCTTCGCATGATTGAGTTAGGTATCTTCTGAAGAAATATGTGACTTTGTTACGATAGTACATCTATTGAAGCTTTCAAAACCGACCACTATCTAAACTCAGCACAAATAATCAACATTTTCCTGAATTATGAAGATAATACGAGGTTACCAAAAAAGTTCTATTCGGCTAACGTTTCGGAGTCTTCGAGTTGTTTCCGGTCGCTGTGATCCTAGTCATTTGTTCATAGCTGTCCATCCTTGCTATGTGAGTCCTCGTTGTCGAATCGAGTCGAATTCTCTGGAGTGAAGGGATTTCACTCCACTCGATTCGGCTCGACGTGACTAGGATGAACACATCACATGGAAGAACTGCTACGGAAAATCGAGTCGAATCACGACGACTCTGAAGAAGACGGAAGCGCCGAAGCACAATAACCGAGTAAAACTTTCAAACCAATCTCGTTTTAGCTTAAAACCTAAAACTTTCTATATCATTTCTTTAAGAACACTAGAACTTACGAATGCCAAAGGTCTACAGGTTCCTTCCAACGGTATTACCGCCTCACGTGGCTTAAAGGTGTTCCTCGGTATCCGACTATGATGTACAGTGGGGGAGACTCATCTTCCCAGCAGGGTCTTTCAAGCTGCGCAGGAATCCGGCGTTTCCATCAGAAAGCCTAGCTAAGAGTAAGCCAATACCAGGATCCATCACTGTTCTGGTATCAAAGTCGCATGGTGGCAAATCTCCTTCTGATCCACAAGGGCCGCGACTACCTGTGGTGGTGACGACCTGAGGCAGACTTTGGCTAGGCCGACCTGCAGACTCCAGAGAAACACAATAGCTAAACCAGCAAAACTCCAAAACTGGGGATTGTGTTGGGAACTGCACAACCAGTGAGGACGCGCCGTCCAAGTATAAAAGTAAATGTCTGCAGCTTTGGCTAAAAGCAGACGTGACACTAATTCGAATCTGGGCCAAAACAGACCTGATTACTATTCCACGACGAATTCGTGGCATTGAACTCGTCAGCAGGAAAAACAGCCATAGCAAGTGGTGGTGGTTGAGCATTTTGTAGCGGATGTGTTGTGCTAACTGGTATCATGAATTGAAGCTGATGTCGTCTATCATCCCAATCTGGAAAAGTACCAGTAAAACATCAGATACGCTTCGGAGACCAAGTAAACACAACATTTGGAGTATAACAGCACATTTCTTGTTTTAGTTTTGCAAAATTTATGTGCAGAACTACATAACCCTACAAAGTAATAACGAATAGAAGGATAAAGTTCTGAGCATAGATCAATCCCTGAGGGTCCACCATGCATTCGACTTCACTAAGGATCGTTGGAGGTGACCGAATGCATATCTAGCTTTTATGATGACTCGCGGTGGCCTACTAATGTTCGAGCCAGTGCTACTATCCTCCCAGACAACTCTGGTGCCAATTTGCCGACCCTATAGGGATGGAGGGTTTGGTGAGCCTTGGGCGCGGAACTCGACCCATGTGTGTTACAGTACTGCGATGTATACAAGCTAATAAAAGTAATGATTAAGTAATAACAACAACAGATGACAACTTCTTCATAAGTACAAAGTGGTAATGCCAAGAAGGCAATGTGTAATCACTCACCACACTCCAATTCAATAGAAATATAGACGAAAAAATTCTATTATCACGTTGAAAGAGAGGGGAAGCAACGATGACTAATCACTTCTTTCGTAGAAAAAGCACTCCTGTCTCACGAAAATTTTCAAACCTCTACCCTTTAACTCTTGACCTTTAGCCTCTAAATCTATTCATCAACCTCATATAACCTCCACACTTTAAACAATCCTATCTCACTGAACATTTAACTCAGCAGCACCATCAGACGAAGGAACGAAAGTGGCTAAGTAAAAGGCGTAGCAAGAAGATGATAGATGAACGTATAGGGAAGGACTACCAAAGGGAAAAACGCGAAAGCCTACAAATAATGGCACTTTACTAAACCGACTTTTACTTATCCCACCGGATAAACGATGAGTACATTTTTGAACCAACCGTCATTCAACCTTGGTTGCAAAAAACCTGAACAGAACCACAGCAAAACCTTTAACCTGTGGACCACCGACTCGGATCATGAGGCACTGATGAAGATGACGACGTCGAAATGTTAGCCGAACAAACAACTTTATCAACCTCGTGTAAGCTCAACAATTTAAATGCATATTGATCGGTATACTTCTTCAGATCATCCAGCTTATATGAGATTCTTACAGAAATTCCATTCGGCTAACGCTTCGATGTTGTCGTCTTCTAAAGAGAAAATGCTGAATATAGTGTATTTACTCCACAATTCGACATATTTCTAGATGGTGAATCGTTGAAAAAACACTCCACCAAAAAAGGATTAAAAAAACAAAGAAGATCGGGGAGATTTATAGGCTTTGGCTTAGCTGGCCACTATGAGACAGCAAAGGTGCCCGGAGGCCACATGGTGGAGAGATGAGAGGGTACAGAGACATAAAGTAAGGGATCGATACGCCATGCGTGGCACAGAACTGGGCGAAATGTATTCTGCTCTAACAGGAAGATATTCATTAGGATGAAATCTTACTAGTTCGCATAACTATCATCGTTTTAAGAAAAGCTCTGAAAGCTCTTGGTGTCGTTCAATCCCTATGGAATGCGCCATGCATTCGATTCCATTCGTAGCATCGTTAGAGCTGAATGAATGCATATCAGGCATATACGATGATTTGCGGTGGTCTACCAATGTATCAGATCAGTGCTGCCATCCTCCCATACGCGTCTGGTAGAAAGTTGCGGATCCTGGAGAGATGGAAGGCTCAGTGAGCCCAGCGCGTATGATCGAGCAAACGACCACATGTGAATTGCAAAGCACCTCTAACAAATGCGTTATACACACACCATAACTTTATTTTATATATGTCTGGCACGTGTGGTGCAGTGGTCGGAGGCCCTGCAGCACACACGTGGAATCGATCCCAGCGCCCGTGGCCCACCAAGCCTTCCATCTCTCCGGGGTCGGAAAATTTGTACGAAACTTCTCTGGCAGGACAGCAGCACTGGCTCGATACATGGGCAGGCCACCGCGAGTCATTGTAAAGGCCAGATATGCATTCAGTCACATCCAACGATATTTAATGAGGTCCAATGCATGGAGCATCCCTCACGGTTTGATCAACGCCGAGAGCTCTATCCCTTATCCTTTTATGTCTGGCAGGAGTTTGCCTACCCTGGCGAGATGCAAGACTCGGCGGGCTCAGAGTGCAGGATCGAACCAATGACCACATATGTATTGCAGGGCACACCTAACCAGAGCACTACATGCGAACATATGTTCCTTTAGTGGACATTAATGGTTCAGATACCTTTAGTCGTTACTATATTCTGTGATGGCAAAATGAATGAACTGAAATGGAATCATAGTAAGATCGAAGAATAAGATCTCCTGATGAAGAAAGGTTAGCTAAATATCAATTTTTGGATATTCTCAACTAATAAATAATACTCAACTTCTATGATGAATCCTGGTTACCGTATTGAAAATGGAACAAAGTACCACTGTAGACTAAAATTTACTTCAAAAACGTTTCCGAATAATGTGTTTCGATGGTGGACCGTAGTAAAATATCATAAATGGTACACTCTTAAAGCGATAGGGCAAAGTCGCTTCCACGACTCCATCGTGTCCTCAACTGTGTAACTTCTATAGTGTTCGATAAATTGTTCATCTACTATCAGAAAACGCGAACTCAAGCACTGGAACTGAATTGGTAAGAGCCGACCTGCAATGCGCAGTGGACCTTGGTTAGATCTCGCACCCAACGCTCATCAAGGTTCCCATCCCTTCGGGGTTGGGTGAATTGGTACCGCATTTGTCTGGGAAGATAGATACACTCACCTGATATAGCTGTAGGCCACGGTAAGTCATTTTATAAGCCATATATGATTTCATCTCTTCTACGAAGTTTATAATGAAGTCGGATGCGTTGCGCATCCCTCAGAGATTGCTGAACGCCGAACGTTTTATCTTTTCTCCTTCTTGTCGAGAAACCATTTCCGCTCATCGTGCACAGATAGCAACGTGCTTTCCCGTAATCTATATGAAACCAGGTACTGTCTCATGCAGTGGCCACGCAAATGTCAAGCGGAATGTGTTAGGGTTGAAAGAATAGCGAAGACGAGAAGTGGAAATGGGTGGTGTGTTCACTCTCCTTTTCACCACATCTACCTTTTGATATACTCGAATCACTCGTTTTATTATGTTCAGCTTTGTGGCCAAATCTTCCATCACTCTAATTTCTTAATCCAGATTCTCATTTTGCAGTGGACGTGCGTTTTAGAGGAAACTGAGTACAACCCATATGCTTCGGTCCACACACCCATCGTGCTGGTTCGATCCCGCCCCAAGCTCACTATTTCTCTCATCCCTTCTGAATCGAGAAATTGGTACCGGACTTGTCCAGGAAAAAATCAGTATCTTCAATCCAAGTGGGAACGCTCTAGCCCGGCTATCTCAGAGTCCCTAATGAGAATCAACTTGACCATCATTCTCTGATATTCAAAATGTAATATAAATCCTCGAACAGAAACCTAAGCCACACTTAAAAGTTGTAAGACCTTCGTGGATGATGGACGCAAGGAAACGAATTGAATGTGAGAAGTGCTGGAATCCTTTCAATACCTTTACTATCGTCCTTATTCGTTCATTCGCCAAGCTTTGCCAACTTTTGCGTACGTTTTTAGATTCCTGCTGATGCGTTGTT